CTGAGGTAGAGAGCAGGAAGTCTGAAGAACAACTCCGAGAGGAATTCGTCGATGACGTACTGTCTGTTCTTGAGGAAAATAGCAGAGAGTTCTTCAAGAAAGGATGGGACGAGGCGCTCCGATCTGTTGGGGTCCCTCCAGACTCCCCGCTCTTCCAGATGCACAACTATGTGCAATCGGCTGAGATGGAACAGGCCGAGGCCGAGATTGCTATCGAGGGTGCGACTCCAACGCTGATACAAGTTTTGGTAGACCCTCCCGAGGTGGTGATTCTAGTCCCATCAGAGGAGGCCTTGTCGGGGCTTGGCACCTGACCACAATATTCCTGAGACTCCTGCTGTCGTTGATCCGGTCCTATCCCCACCTGCCCCCGAAGCTATTCAACCTTTCTGCATTGATTCGCCCTCCAACGACGTTTGGAGATGCCGGGGCCAGATGAAGGCTCTTTTTCTTTTGAATTGTACTTTTTCTTCTTTTACTCTTGTAGCTCTTGGGGACGTAAAGCCCCTCTTTTTAAATGAAGCTTTTTTTTTTGAGTACTTACATTTTCTTGCTTGCATTCTCTCTCTCTTTCTCTTTCTCTCTCTCTCTCTTTTTAATAGCTCCGACACCTGGGGAGCAATTTGGCTTGCTTACCCGATTGGTTCAGTTTCATCATTGCTAAGACTCGTACGCATCCGCAGTGTCTCACTCCTTGTGGAAGTTTGTTCCTTCCTTTTATTCGGAGGCAGGAGTCCTTGAACTCTGTCCCCAGGGCCTTACCCGTCCAGGAGGCTTGCTCTTGTTTTTTCTTCGGGGGCAGGAGTCCTTGAACTCTGTCCCCAAGCCTTACCCTTCCAGCAGGCTTGCTCCTATTTTTTCTTCGGGGGCAGGAGTCCTTGAACTCTGTCCCCAGGGCCTTACCCTTCCAGGAGGCTTGCTCCTATTTTTTCTTCGGGGGCAGAAGTCTTTGAACTCTGTTCCCAGGGCCTTACCCTTGTAACTTAACCATTGGCGAACACTGAAGGAAATAACACTTCAAAAATAGTATTTCTTTAGATTCATCACATTCCAAGGTTGCATTACAAGTTTCCCTTCCATATCTTCTAATTTATATGATCCGGAGCCTCCGATAGATATCACTTTGTAGGGCCCTTCCCAGTTAGGTCTCATTTTTCCTTCTGTTGGGTCACGGGTATTGGCCGTTATCCTTCTGAGGACCAGATCACCGATTTGGAATTTTCGCGCCTTGACCCTTTTGTTATGAAGTTGGAAAATCTTTTCCTAATACTTGGTTACTCTCAAGGCGGCTATCTCTCTTCTTTCTTCCGCTAGATCCAAATCCAGTCCAAATTGACGATCATTTCCCCCTGCGTCGAAAGCTTGCGTCTTTATGGTCGGGAGCCCTACTTCTAGAGGTATGATTTCTTCCATTCCGTAAGCCAGGGAGTAAGGGGTTTCTCCTGTCGAGGACCGAGGGGTGGTCCTATACGCCCATAAAATGTTCAACAGCTCATCCGCCCATTTTTTCTTGGCTTTCTTCAATCTCTTCTTGATCCCATTGATAATTTTTTTTCTGAAGGCTTCTGTCTACCCATTGGCTTGGGGGTAGGCAGGGGTGGAATAGAGATTACGGATCCCGAGTTGCTCGCAAAAAGACTTGAAACGCCCCCAGTAAATTGGGTCCCGTTATCTAATACAAATGCTCAAGGAATCCCAAATCTGATGATTATGTTTTCCCATATGAACTTTTTAGCATCTATGTCACGGATGTGAGTCAATGGCTCCGCCTCAACCCACTTGGTGAAATAATCTGTGGTCATGATCAGGAACTTCCTATTTCCAAGAGCCTTAGGCAGGGGTCCAACTAGGTCGAGTCCCACTGGACGAATAGCCAAGGGCTGGTCAAGGGGTGCAAGTCTCCCACGGGTTGCCTGATTGCTGGGGAGAACTTCTGACATTGGTCGCATTTTTGGACATATGCGTGTGCGTTCCTTTGCATCCGTGGCCACCAATATCCTTGAGACATGATGCGGTGTGCCATGGATCGCCCCCCAGAGTGCCCCCCGCATATTCCTTCGTGTACCTCATAAAGGAGGTCCTCCACCTGATCCTCCTGGACGCATAGTAGGTAAGGTCTTGAGAAAGACCTCTGATATAGCTTCTGATCCGGAGAGACTCAAAACCTCGGGGCTTTAAGTTTTATCTTCCTGGCTTTCTTTGAACACTCCGGGAGGTCTCCTGTTATTAGGAACCTGAGAAAGGGATCAATCCAGCTGGGCGGCTTGTGTGTGTCCTGAAATGGCCATTGCCTCGAGGCTTGGTCTATACAGGAGGTGGGAAGGTATTCTATGGTGACTCTGCACGACTGACAAGATTCCAGTGCCGAGGCTAGGCAAGCCAGGGCGTCGGCATGCGCGTTCTTGTCTCGGGACACTTGTTTGATCTCAATCTTTTTGAATTTACGGATTACAGTCGTCGCCTTGTGATGGTAAGCCTTCATCCTAGGGTCCCTTGTCTCAAACTCTCCGTTAACTTGGTTGACTACTAGCATGGAATCGCAATGTACGATCAAGTCCGTAACCCCAGTTGCCTCAGCTAACCGAAGTCCTGAGATGAGAGCCTCATACTCAGCTTCATTATTGGATGCTTTGAATCCCAGTCGAACGACCTGCTCCGCGACCATCCCATCTGGAGAGACTAGCAAGATATCGATCTCGGACCCCTTACTGTTCGACGAACCGTCCACACATAAAAGCCATGGTGATCCCTCATAATTCGTTGGGAATGCTATGCCGAGAGGAGGTGATCTTTCTGGAACGGGATGTTCCCCTGAAAACTCAGTTATGAAGTCCGCCAACACCTGACCTTTTATAGCGGTTCGAGGTTTGAAATTAATGTCGTGTTCCCTTAGCTCCACTGCCCACTTGAAAATCCTTCCAGAGAGGTCTGCCTTCCTCAAAATGGCCTTTAAGGGCTGATCGGTAAGGACGGTGATTGGGTGTGCCTGGAAATAATGCCTTAGTTTTTTTGCAGTTGTGACCAGGGATAGAGTCAATTTCTCTAGGGGCAGATATCTTGTCTCTGCGTCCAGGAGCGCCTTGCTTATGTAATAAATCGGTTTTTGGCGGTGCTCATGCTCACGAATAAGTACCCCGCTGACGGCAAATTCTGATACAGATAAAGTACAAGAAGAGTATTTTCCCCTGAATAGGGACGGATAGGGTCGGGAGAGTCTTGAGATATTCCTTGATTCCAGCCAGGGCGTCTTCACACCCCTGGCTCCACATATCCTTTCCAGCCCTCTTGATGACTCCAAAAAAGGGTTTGCATTTGTCTGAGGAGCATGAGACGAAACGGTTAAGTGCTGCCAGCATCCCTGTGAGCTTTTGGACTTCTCAGACAGTTCGGGGGCTCCAGATGCCTAGGATCGCTTGAATCTGATCCGGGTTAGTTTCGATTCCTCGCTGATTCACCAGATATCCGAGAAATTTACTCGACTCTACTCCGAAAATGCACTTTGTCACGTTCAGCTTCAACCCATACTCTCTAAGGGTGGAGAAGGTATCTGTCAAATCTACCAGGTGCTCACAGCTTCGTTTACTCTTCACCAGCATATCGTCAATGTAGACCTCCATGGTGTTGCCGATCTGTTTTTTGAACATCCGATTCATCAGTCTTTGGTATGTTACCCCGGCGTTCTTTAGCCCAAATGGCATCACTTTGTAACAGTAAACTCCATTTGAAGTGATAAACGCCGTCTTTTCCTGATCCAAGGGATGTAAGTTTTTATGTTTGATCAATTTATTATATAATGAATATTTATCTTTTTGCAAATTCATTTGTGAGGTTTCATGAGTTTTTAAAAAAAATTTCTTAAAATCATAGAAATTAATTGTTATGGGTTGAAATGGGGATCAAAATTTACTAGCGAAGCTGAGATGGAGATTAAAATTTCTCAAGCTAATAGGAGGTGGAGCGGGAGTAGACAAAAAAATATTTTTGAAACGGATACGAGGTAGAGACTACTCCCCCCACCCCCCGCCCCGAACCAATACCATTCCTAATTAAAATTATTGTATCGTGATTTTATTGTTAACTTTCATTGTTAATTATATCAAAATCTACTTCATTGAAATTGACAAAATAATCAACAAATTTTAACAGTAAGACAACATTGTAGCACTTTTATTACATTACAAGTGTTATATAAAAAAAATAATTTTTTAAAGTACAAAATTTTTTAAATATGGTCTTAATTTTAAAAATAAAAAATGGAATTCCCCTATTATAACTCCTTTTTATGTTAACTACAAATTAAATTTATTTAATAAATTTTTTTGAACAAATCAAGACACACACGACACAAACAGTTGTCTTGAGCCAGTCAATGGACGCGTAAGGGACCCTAATCAAAGCTGAAATTCCAAAACTACCCACTCCTCAGCCCTAGCAACGAGCTTAAGGAAGGTCAATTTCGTCAATGGGAAAAAGAATAATTCCTAACGTTTGGAAATATAAATGGGTGAGAAGGGGGGTTGCGAAAAGTAGGGTAGAAGACAAGAGAAACGGCTTCCTAGTAATCTTTACAACTGCCACCCATTCTACAAAGAGGCTCCAACACATCACACAATACCAGCTTTTTCCAACCTCTCTCTCATCCCTACTAATCATTCTTTGGTTTTTTTCTTTTGGGTCTCTTCAATTTATTCCATTCATTCAATTTATTCATTTGTTTTTTTTTTTTAATTTGAGATTGTACTCCTAGTGTTTGATTTTGGGTTAGCCAAGTGATTTTGGGTGGAAGAAATCTAGGGCTGTGTCTGGACCAGGTGATTTTTGTGGATTAGAAATACTTGAAGAGAGAGAATCGGAGAAAGATCTCCATTTTGTCTGATCGATTTGTGGGTTGATTATAGGAGGTTTTTTTGGTCGAGTTTGTGTTGATCTGTGGATTAGGAGTTGAAATTGGGTGATATTTTTAGGTATATACATCTATAACTATATTTAGAAAAAGGGTTAGAGAGAGAGAGAGAGAAAGATGTGGAGTATAACGCGATTTGGGGAGAAAGTTTATACAATGATGGCGGAAGGGGGATCTCGTTACTGTTCGAAGAAGACGGATGATATATGCGGCAATGCTTGCGATGAGGTAAATATTTTCGATTTTCTTTTACTTCTCTTTTTCCTTTTCCTTTTCCTTTTTTTTTTTTAATTTTTAATTTTTTGGATTTTTATAGTTTTGTATATCTGAGTTTCGAAATTGATGTAACTATTTGATTTCCATAATGTATTTTTCTGGGTGTTTGATGCAATTGTTGGGATTTACTCTTGGTTCTGTTGTTTTGTCTTTTTGGGTAATATATGCTGTGTTTGGTTCATGAGAAAATACATGGAAATTTTCTTTTTTGGTGTTTGTATAAGATAAAAATCGTCTCTTTTTAAGTTTTTCCTATTTACTCTATTTTCGAGTCTACCAAATAAATTGGGGATGTCCCGAGTGTATTCTATGACCAAGCTAGGTCTCCTTTTAATCTGGGTGCTGCAGCATGGGGGCTGAATTGAACCTTGCAAGCGCCAAGGTCAGGACTCCAGGCTCATGTACTTGTTAGCAACAGGTCATTTGTTCATGTGAGCTCCAGAATTGCCAATTTAATGGGTATTATAGATAAACATGTATATCTCTATATGTACTTTTATTTTTATGAAGTTTATTACTCCAATATTTTTATGCCTACCATCTTTTGGTGAAGAGACACACTTTGAATATTCATGTTCAACATTTTAGTTTGTAAATCCTTGAAGTTTTGAAGGAGACAGAAGATTCTTGTGACCTTAAAGTCTTCTAGTTTTGATTTATCTTGTGTGTAGTAAAGCTTTAGAATTTTAATGATAGTAATAGATAATGGAGAGCTTATAGTTTTGATTTTACTTTTTCAATTAGCTTTTCAAATTATCTTATGTGGTTTGTATTCTGGGGTTACGATATGTCTTGTTAAGGCTGGTGCTTTTTATTTCCTTCCTTGATAAGTTTTTCCCTGCTAATTACTAGTATTTTTCTTGAGTATGAAAGGAAAATCTCTCATATGATTCTTATGTATATCTGCAGGAGTCAGGACGATCTTTGAGCATGTCAAGATTACGATGTATTCTGCGTGGAATGGATTTTAAAATGTATATCTTTTTTTTCGTTCTAGTGCCGACATGTGTCCTTGGTATATACTTGCACGGACAGAAGATTTCGTACTTCTTGCGGCCATTGTGGGAATCGCCACCTAAACCCTTTCATGAAATCCCACACTATTATCACGAAAATGTGTCAATGGAGAATCTCTGCAAGCTTCATGGATGGGGAATCCGTGAGAGCCCAAGGCGTGTCTTTGATGCAGTGTTGTTCAGTAACGAGGTGGAAATCCTTACCTTACGGTGGAAAGAATTGTACCCCTATGTAACAGAGTTTGTTCTCCTTGAGTCAAATTCAACGTTTACTGGATTGCCAAAGCCTCTGGTATTTGCCAGCCATCGAGATCAGTTTAAATTTATTGACTCGCGATTGACATATGGGAAAATTCCTGGGAGGTTCAGGAAAGGAGAAAACCCATTTATTGAGGAGGCATATCAGCGACTGGCTTTGGACTATCTTCTCAAACAAGCAGGAATTCAAGATGATGACTTGTTGATAATGTCAGACATTGATGAGATACCAAGCAGGCACACTATCAATCTTTTGAGATGGTGTGATGAAATACCTCCTATCCTTCATCTTCGGCTAAAAAATTATCTGTATTCATTTGAGTTTCTTGTGGATAATAATAGCTGGAGAGCTTCAGTCCACAGATATCAATCTGGCAAGACAAGGTATGCACATTACCGCCAATCAGATGAAATCTTGGCAGATTCAGGGTGGCATTGCAGCTTTTGTTTCCGCCATATTAGTGAGTTTATATTCAAGATGAAAGCTTACAGCCATTTTGACAGAGTGAGGTTCGCTCACTATTTGAATCCTAAGAGAATACAAAAAGTAATCTGCAAAGGGGCTGACCTGTTTGATATGTTGCCTGAAGAGTATACCTTCAAGGAAATCATTGGGAAAATGGGACCCATTCCCCATTCCTACTCAGCTGTTCATCTTCCGTCATATCTATTGGAGAATGCTGACAAGTATAAGTTTCTTTTGCCTGGGAATTGCTTAAGAGAAAGTGGCTGAATTTACTTTGACTGCCTTCCATGTCTGTTCTTATAAAGGGTTGGAGGTGCAGCTTGTGTGACCCCTCATGAAGAGCTTTATTGAATGATCGATGACTGCAGTTTGTAACTGTTACAATGTGCTTACATGTCCAGCAATATTTATGTCATTCTTTCAGAAATATTGGAAGGTTGGATGAATTCTTGGATTTTCAGGGTTATGTATATAACTTAGAGTTTGTTTTCATTTAGAATGGAGCTTATTCATCTGCTTAGTGGGGAGCTTTCTGTGATGGGAACAGCTTGGTTGCTGTGGGGGTGCCTGTTTATTATTTGCCAGTGGTGTTGACCCCCAAATATGCCCCCAAAAAGATACAGGACAGTTGGCTTCCCTTCATGTTAGGAAATTTTGATTCGACACTAATCAATTAATATATTTTTGTGGACCTATGTTGGTGTTTGGCTTCGTGATTTGTGCTTTTGAGTCCATCATTTCTTAATCTGTTAATTTTTTAGTTTCATTCAAAACAGTATGCCAATAACATTGCTTTGATATCAAGCCCCTTTTTTGAGGTGATGATCCAGTGAAATTTGTCTCTGTGTTTCTTTGTATTCTTCCTTAATCACAGACATGGACAGAAAGATCCCACATATTTGAGCTTGGTATTGTTCAAAACCTGAAATTAAGTGTAATGACAGAGCATCTGATACCGTTTATTAAACTATTTTAGTAGGTCAGGTTCTTATGATTTGAGGTTGGCATGTCTTGGTGCAATACAATCATTGACTATCATGATATATACAGCTCACACAATAGGATTGAGCCAACTTTCCCGGCAGGAATAGAGAATATTCTTTGAGGATCTTATCTTATTTGGATTTTTCCTTACCATTTGAAACTCTTAAGCCAGGTCTCTTAAGTTTAGTCCAAGCAGGTGTGAGAGTCTGCAATAACTGTATGTTTGTTTGCTGTAGTTGAGTTCATTGAGTTTCTGGACGGCTAAAAATCACTTAATCTGAATCTGCATCAACATGGGCGGAACTAAGAAGGGGCCTGTGGCTAGGGGTGTTGTTTTTTGACCCGACACGTGAACATACGAACTGAACACAAAATTAATGGGTCGAATATGTATTTAAATGGATTAATGGATAAAAACAGGTCAACATGTTTAAACACAAAAAAAATGTTCATGTCAAAATTAGGTCATCCGATTTTAACCAAATTAACCCATATATTTTAAATGGGCTGACATGATTTAGACACAAATCCGACTTAACACATTGTAGACCTGTTTAATCCGTTTATCCAAGTATATACAACATTATTATGACAATTGGCAGTATAGTTCTTAACATATCAATATACTAGTATAATTTTTACTTTAATTTTTGGGTTGAATTTTGAATGCAGTTTAGTTAATTTTATTGATGAGATGTGATCTGTATTAGTAAAAAGATTATTTGAAACTTTAGATAAATGATTGAATGATATATTTCATGATAATGAACAGGTGTGAAATAGGTTATGTGTATTAAATATGTCGTTTTATGTCTGTTAAGCAGGTTAAATAGGTCGTGTTATGTGTGTTAATCTAAAAATGACATGTTTATTAAACGTGTTAAATATGTCGTGTTCAGGTAACCCGTTTAATAGCCAAGTCAGGTTAGTATTAATACATCTCGACAAGATTATTGAAAATATCAGGTTCGTGTTTGAGAGTTTTTGACATAAATCCAAAACTAACTCAACACGAAATGATCAAACTTGACACGTTTGACACACTAACTATGACCCTCCTCACATTCTCAAAAATTTTTACAACACCCCATAAATTTTAGAAAATCCTATATTTCTCCTTAGTTTCTAAAAAATTTTATGCATAAGTAATTTACTTGTATTTGAAAAGGTCAATGAATTGATATTTAATAGCCAAATGAGGTATCTAAAACTAGATTATAAATGTGAAATTTTATGCCAAAGATATTTGGTTGGACGAATTTGATGATCAAAGGAAATTAAAAAAAAGTGTGAATTTTTTTTAAAACTAGATTATAAATAAGGCTTATTTCAAAAGTAATATGTCGACTCACAACTTAATTTCGTTTTACTATGTAAAATTATTATTTGTAATGATAAATTATCTTTAAGTAATTACATGATATAATAATGTGGAAATGAAAGGATCATGACAATGTCACAAACAAACTTTTAAGAAAGTAAGAATTTATCTTTCGATTTTATGACCCAAACTAATTTTTATAATTATATTGTATGAAAGTCAATTTTGATAAATTTTATAAAACTGTTTATCTAATTAATAAAATATTTTATCTATATCATTATTTGACCCTTTAAAATAAAATTTTAGTTACGTGCATGTGCGTCAAGCAATATAACATCTTCCATTTGAACTTCAGGAATACCCTTCATAATTGCTATAAATTTGAGGTTCAACTACCCAAAACGTGTTGTAAGGGACCTTGTGTGTGTGTGTGTTTTTTTTTCTTGGGGGGGTTTGGACACAGAATTTTCCATTGAAGAAAACAAATGTGTCCATGTTTTTGGCAGTAAAGTTGAGGTTGTGGTACCTCGAATTGCTTTGCCGGCCTCTACCTTGTCAACAGCTATTGGGTAGAGTTTAAAAACACTGAAGTGTCAATCAGCATGACTTTATTTATGTGGTGGTATTCCAAAAGTTGTTGTGATCGATAGAAATGCTTTAATCAATAGACATCGATTGTTTGAGAATTGATTCTAATGCCTTATTTTAGGACTTACTTGGATGAATTCTTAAAGTGATAGAGACACGGAATAATGAATTAATAAAAATAGACTCTTTTATTAATTCAATCGAATGTGTTTAAGTTGCAAAGTGAATGATTTAACAACCTTTGATTATAACGCTAACTGCTTTCTAAAAACTAACTTTAGCACTACTCATAAATGCCCTAATCGTGGGTCTTGTGGGAGGTTTGAGTTGTTCCTCCAAACTCCTTCTTTTCTTCTTTTTATAGTCACTTCTTTCGATGGTTTTTTCATTATAAACGGTTAGTTGACTTTGTAACTCCTAGACAATTATTTCCTCTTTAAAATCAGAGATGTGGTTAGTCGCGTCCCGCCTTTTCTTCAAATCTTGACACATGACAATCCTTTAGTGATTTTAGGCTTTCCAACATACATGCATCGAATGCTTTCATAATTTTGTATTTTATGTCCAAGCATATCCCCCTCATTTAATTGAGTTTTATTCTTAATTAACTCAAGTGAATAAATAGTCATTATTGTTGCCTTCTTTAAACATATGTTTAAAAGCTTTTTGCAGCTGAACTGTTCACTGAACTTCTCTCGTCTACTTTCCTTCTTGTTTTCGAAAACCCTAGTGATTTTTCACTTTTCCTTTTGCAGATCCTTAATGGCTCCCAAGAAACAAAATCCTTCATCTTCAATTGCCTCTAAGATTCCTTTCTCGCCGAGGTTCTCCCCTAAAATTAAGCAAACTGCCAAGGAATCTGTAGACCCAAGGGTTTTGATTCCTACCCTAACTCATGTGGGGTTTTTGCTCTAGTTCCTTCCTTTAAATCATATGTCTATGAGGGTTTTTTTTTATTACTACCTTGTTCACGAAGGCGAAACCCTAATGCTGAACCAATCGTAACTTTTGTGAAAGTCATGGAACTAGGGAACCAACCCACTTCGATCATGGATCAACCTTGACCAATGCTGGTTGATTGGGTCAGCAAGATGGAAGCTCGCTATGCCTCTCAATGGCAAAGTCTGGGTATTTTCGAAATGATCAAGCTTTCCACCCAAGACCTGCATATGAACTGATGGCTGATTGGTGTTGCTGCATGCTTTTGGTTCAAGTCATGCAACTCCATGTTTCTCCCCGTAGGCATGATGTCCCCAACGATTTTGGATGTCATCTTTTTAACTAAGTTTCCATCGACAGGTGTAGAGGTTGATTGTTTTTCTACTAACTCTGGTCGCGATTTCTTCACTGTCCCTTCTAGCATAGGGTATAATGATCTCATCAACTATTTCTTTGCTTCTCAATCCTCTACTTTATCATTTGCAAAACACGTTGCTTTTCTTCTTCATTGGCTATGTCGATTTGTTTTATGCGTCCCTAGGATCAAAGTAACTCGGATGGCTAGAAACAAAAAAACTTGTCTTAGCCCCTTTTGTCTTAGGTGCATTGTATAATGGCCTCTTTAATCTTACTGAGAATAGGACCACTGCTAGTTGTGGGGGGTCCTTTTTGGCTTTTTTTAGGCTTGGCTCTATGCCTATTTCTCTGAGGTTTGGCCCTCTGCTACATTGCCTAATGCTAAATTTATTCCTTTGAATTACACCCATCGATTACTCTTTGTCTTAGTTATTTATACTAAAAAGACTTTTAATTTTTACTTCAACACTTTTTTCAACCTTTCTTTAGATCGAGATGATATTTTGTACACCTCATTTTCTAATTTTCTCTATTTTTGTTCCCTTCTTATGCCCTTTTTTGATTACCCAAATACTTCCTTAGAAGAGGCTAGAGAATCACACTGCCTCTTTTGGGGTTGTGTTCTTATCCCTCGATACCTTCATATTAGGGGTTCTGTGGACCAAGGGTAGGACATGTTGGCTGCTATAGTAGTGGCTAATCTTGTTAATCAATTCACGCCTCTTCTAACTACCGAAGATCACATAGCCACCATTCAGCCTCATTCTCCTACTAATACTGGTGCTAATCTTGAGGAACAAACTAACACATAGCTTGTCACTCTCTCTCCTGCGCTCCTAGTTGAAGGTCCAATTGAGCCTCATTCTCTTGCTAATACTGGTGTTAGATTCCTTGATTTTATAGTCTGATACTTTTTTTTAGTTGTTTGATTTATTGTGCAGACAAATTGGTTGATTTAAAGTAATAATTGATAAGACAAGTAAATCAATCATTAGAGAAAGAATCACAATTGATAAGGATTGAAGAGTTAACATTAAGATAAGAAGATTTAAAGATAAGGTAGCAATTTAATCCT